CTATAAAAGCCAAACGGCTGCAGTACAACGAGATTCATCCGTCCTCATCTGGTGAGATCGACCAACGAATATCTTTTTCATACACTTTTATTCGAAATGAAGGTCCCCCTAACAATCTTGAACATTTGTAGACAGTTTTATGCTTAAAAACCTCTTTTACTTAGTTCGGTGGATCTCCATCTCATAGACTCTACCACATGATCTAGATAAAGTCTCAATATTCTCGACGATAGTAAATAACCGGGAAATGTGTTAGTTTTTTCTTTCATTTATATTCTTCAGAATCTTATAGTATAGCAACATTATTTTGGTAATATACTATAGTTATAACATAGTCATAATGGATAATTGTTTTCAACTAATAATTACTTTGATCGTTGTTATAAAGACCAAGATGGTGTGACCTTCTGTTTGATCGCAGTTTCCTTTAGCTGTATAGTGTTGGTTTGGCCTTGTTTTCGCAACTAAGTCAGAGCGACAGGGAGACCTCTTGAAACGTACCTAATCTTGCGTACTCTGTCATAGTATTCGTGATTTCCAGCATTACACCATTGACTTATTACATTTCTAGTCAATGGTCCGATGCTAGAAATCAAAAATACTGGGGCAGAGGAGGCAGGACTAGGTATATTCCAAACGGTCTCTGTCGCTACGACCAAATTGTAAGATCGAACTCTAACCAACAACCTTTTGCATTTTATATAAAGTACAAAATCTTATGGCATCAAATTAATAAGGAATACTTTAAAAACTATTTTTGTTTTAGCTTGCTGCATTCAATTTACTCTGGATTTGTTATCCTATGGCATTTCATTATCCTCTGACTTCTATCCCTGTTTGCTATTCGAGCTATTTTTGAGCTCTGTCTCCTATGTTTTGGTACCGAATATTTCTTAAGCGTAACTGAGCCTTTAATTATCTCTAAATTTACTTCCTCATTTCGTTGTTTCTTTAACTCCAGGTTGTCGACTTTAGTTGCAACAATATGACTTTGGCGCCTCGCGGTATAGAGCTTGCTAAAGGACTTCTTGTGGTTAACCTAAGTGAAAACAAACTGACATCTATACACCCTGATCTCTTTGTAAATTGCACCGATCTGATGCTTCTTGATCTTAGTTACAATCTTCTGGAGACGTTACCAGCTCAGTTACGCCGTTGTGTCTCACTCCAGCAACTTTTGCTCAGCTATAATCCTCTCCGACATGCCCAACTGCGTGCAGTGGCTGCTCTTAAGCAATTAGAGGTAATTCACCTTCCCGCTGCACTATTATCATATCCATATACTTATCCGCACTCATACATGCTTCACATTAGTGTTTTTATTCTAAACTCTATTGAGTCAATGGTCCGCTGGCTTTGTCACATTTCTATTACTTGCACAATTTTTATAAACTCAACCTCTCCCTACATTGTCGGTCATTTTTTCGTTTTTTTTCTTCCATCCTTTTTTTCCCTTTTGTTTATTTCTTTTTCATCACTTTTCTAACTTTCGCTTAATCGCCTCGACTTCAGATCCACTTTTAACATAAACAAAAATGTACGTAGATAAAAAAGCATAGGTATGTAATGAAAGACAGTTAAAGCGCGTAA